ATGTTTCGTGATTATGAAATTAAAAAGAAATAAGCTAGTGAGTTTTCTTTTTGAATCTGAACTTGTACATAACTTTTTCATTCTATATCGTTTTATAACAATGATTTTCTCAATTCCAGGAAGCCCTTGATGGTCTTGAGTTTGCCAGAGGCGATTCTAATTCTAAGTGGGGTTCTGTCAGAGCCGCAATGGGGCATCCAGAGCCTTTTGACTTGAAATATGTTGCTGTTGGGAATGAGGATTGCGGGAAGAAGAATTACCGAGGTTTGTGCACCTTTTGAATTCATGCTTTTGTCTGCACACAAGAACATGCATGGCACACAAACCCTGACATGCCTATACAAATCTATTTGTTGCATTAGATGCAAAATTCAGTTTTGAGTCCATAGCAAGCAGCATTTACTTCTAATTTGAACTAGTCAACCTCTAGTTATATGATGTGTTATTGAGGTGATATGACATTTTTTTTTCATGTAGCATTACTGCATCACTCATTTTTGCATTTATCTTTTAGGGGATGTGCATGTCAAATGATATATTATTGAGATTTAAAAATTGTGTTTCTATGATATGGTCTTGTGATCTCAATTCTGAATAAAGTTATATTTGACAAAGATTTTCTTCACAAAAAGCGTCTGAAGTTCTGCAAATGTTGCTCTTCACTCCAGATTAATGAAGATAGACCACTCTCAGAACTCAAATTCATGTGCTTTTTTCTACCAGGAAATTATCTCAAGTTCTACAATGCCATAAGAAGTGCCTATCCCGACATCAAAATAATCTCAAACTGTGATGGGTCTTCTCGTTCTTTGGATCACCCAGCTGATTACTATGATTATCATGTAAACATCCTGTCATGATAGCTTTGTTTTCTTTCTGGTTTGCGGTATTGTACTTTTGCATATTTTCATTAGTCAGAAAACACATGTTAATCCTCTTTTATTCTTTGAACTAGGTTTATACATCTGCCAGCAACCTGTTTTCAATGACTCGTCAGTTTGATCGCACATCCCGCACTGGTCCAAAGGTGTGTAATATGCTTCTTGACAACATACTGACTAATATATGTGACAAGTAGTCATGGGATTTGCTATTTCTCAGGCTTTTGTGAGCGAGTATGCTGTGACTGGAAAAGATGCGGGCACAGGAAGTCTTTTAGCTGCACTCGCTGAAGCTGGATTCCTTATTGGGCTGGAAAAGAACAGGTTTGTCATAGTTGTTCCAGCACTCTTTAAGATATTTGTCAATGTGAAAACCAGTGATTGACGGTCTGAAAGTCTTGATGCCCCCCCCCCCCCCCCCCCCCCCCCCCCCCCCCCCCCGAGTGAACAAATTAATAAAGAACACCTTTCAAATATTGAGTTCAAAAAGTTCCCAGATCACCATTCATGATAGTTCTGGTTCAAATTTGATGCCATGGACGAGGTATCCTTTTTGTTTTTCCATACTCATCATGAAAATTCGAATTCTTGAAGCCTTTATTTCTCCATTGCAGCGATATTGTGGAGATGGCAAGCTATGCACCACTTTTTGTGAATGCCAATGATAGGAGGTACAAATCTCATTTTATTCCTCAAAAGTTAATTCAAGCATGCACGGCAAGGAACATCATTTTCTTTTCAAGTTACTCTGACACTGGAAGGAACTTTTCTATGAAGGTGGAATCCAGATGCGATTGTCTTCAACTCGTCAATGCACTATGGAACTCCGAGCTACTGGGTGCAAAAATTCTTCAGAGAGTCAAGTGGAGCAACTCTTCTTGACGCTAAACTACAAACAAATTCCTCTACACTTGTTGCATCTGCAATTACCTGGCAAAATTCAGATGGCAAAACTTACCTGAAAATAAAGGTGTGCTAATACCAGCATAGCTTGCAGGGATCATGCCCTAAACACCAATTTTAAGTTTTTATCCTTTTTTTTTTAATCAATGCTGCAAGTTCGAATCCTTTTCCAATTTAAGAAATATGGCATAATCCATCGAGTCAACTTTTGTGGCCTTCCCAGCATGACATGCTTGCTGCCACTGGCTGACAACAAACACAAACACACGTCAAATCGGTTTGTAAGAGTTTCTGTTTGATATTTTTCAGCCAAGTTCTTACTTTCAGCGAAATTTATTTTTCAGATTGTGAATTTTGGGAACAGCAAAGTGAATCTCAAAGTTTCCATTGATGGATTGGGGCTCAGCTCACAATTGTCTGGATCAACAAAAACTGTGCTCACTTCTTCTAACTTAATGGACGAGAATTCCTTCGCGAATCCAAAAAAGGTTTCTGACATCTGTCATGACCCTCATGAATTTTCAATGGCCTCAGAACCTTTCAATTCCAGTTTATGTAGCAAATCTGCTAACTGTCTTGGCTTCTTCACGTAATGCAGGTGGTGCCAGCCCAAACTATGATCGAGAATGCTGACAAAGACATGGATGTTGTACTCTCTCCATATTCCTTAACTTCATTTGATTTGTTAACAGAATCAAACAATATCAGGATGCCACAAACTGATTCTCTCTCAAGATCATCAATTTAGAAAAATAAATTAATACATGATGTGTAATTATAGGAAACAATCTAAATAATGTTATTTGTGGCTGGCTTGTGTCTTTGCCTGCTATTTATGTTAATTTTCGTTGGCTAATCTCACCTTGTAAAATATATCTATATTGTTGCTTTTCAATCAAACCTGTTGTGTGAATGTCTAGTCATGGCTGAAGAATCTTTCATCCACAAAACATTAAGGTACCGTCCTTTTGACGGTATCCTGCCAATGAGTCCCCCAACAAATGATTTTCTCATTCAAGTCCTCCATCTAATTAGAACAGCTAATATCACGCAATTGCCCAGATTCAAATTTAAAATCACAATCAATTGAGTCCCAGTAAGCAACTAATTCCCCCCCACACTAAACCTTTCTTAGTTTGTTTTATTCTGATTTTATTTTTTCCCTCTTCTGATTTTGATTATTTTTACACTTATAATTGAACATATTAATGTTTTGACAAAAACCCTGTATTTATTTATGAAATCTACACAGAATAGAAAACACGTCATCACTTTCTCAATGAATGTTAGCAAAAATACTTCATTAATAACAATTCAAAAGGAAGGAAAGAGAGAAAGAAATGAGAGAAGAAGGCAGGTTCATCCGAGCTCAGAGGAAGAATGAGAGAAAGAGGAGAGGAAATGAGAAAGAAAAGAGAGGAGAAGAGGGTCCAGCTGAACTCGAAGAGAGGATAAATGAGAGAAGGGCAAAAGGAAAGGGAGGAAGAAATGTGAGAAGAAGGCAGGCCCAACCAGGCTTAACACAGGCCTAACCACGCTGAAAGGAAGTAAGAATGGGCAAAGGGGAAGAGGAAAGAGATGAACAGGTAAGAGGATGAGGCAGGCTAATCAAACTAATGCTAGCACAATCAAGGCTCTTAAAAAATAAAAATAAAAATTAATATTAAAAAATAAAAAATATTATTTTAATAAATATATTTAAAACAAATTCATTATATATAGATGAAAATGAACTCAAACCCTATTTTAATTTGTCAAGTTTCAAGATAGAAAAAACATATTGAGTGTTTTTGATAAAAGAATTAATCTAATTAGATCAGCTAATATCACTCAATTACCCAGATTCCAATTTAAAATCACTATCAATTGAGTCCCAGTAAGTAACTAATTCTCCCACTCTCTCTCTCTCTCACTAAACCTTTCTTAGTTTGTTTTATTCTGATTTTATTTTTTCCCTCTTCTGATTTTGATTATTTTTACACTTATAATTGAACATATTAATGTTTTGACAAAAACCCTGTATTTATTTATGAAATCTACACAGAATAGAAAACACGTCATCACTTTTTCAATGAATGTTTGCAAAAATACTCCATTAATAACAGTTCAAAAAGGAGGAAAGAGAGAAAGAAATGAGAGAAGAAGGCAGGTTCATCCGAGCTCAGAGGAAGAATGAGAGAAAGAGGAGAGGAAATGAGAAAGAAAAGAGAGGAGAAGAGGGTCCAGCTGAACTCGAAGAGAGGATAAATGAGAGAAGGGCAAAAGGAAAGGGAGGAAGAAATGTGAGAAGAAGGCAGGCCCAACCAGGCTTAACGCAGGCCTAACCAAGCTGAAAGAAAGTAAGAAATGGGCAAAGGGGACGAGGAAAGAGATGAACAAGTAAGAGAATGAGGCAGGCGAATCAAACTAATGCTAGCACAATCAAGGTTCTTAAAAAATAAAAATAAAAATAAAAATAAAAAAAATATTCTTTTAATAAATATATTAAAAAAATTCATTATATATGGATGAAAATGAACTCAAACCCTGTTTTAATTTGTCAAGTTTCAAGATAGAAAAAACATAAAGAGTGTTTTTGATAAAAGAATTATTTTTAAAATGAATTTATTTTATATTTCTATATTAATTTTTAAAATTAAACCAAAACACGTTTATATGGTTTCAAATTTCAATATCTATCAAAATAATGTCCCTCTGATTAAAAAAAAAAAAGGTTTGAAATGTTGCCCTTTCAGCCTAGGTTAAGCCCTTTTCTCTTCAATTCTTTGTTTTAGCCATTCATCTCTCTCCCTTATTACACAGTGAATAAAAACCCACCCTTTCTCTGCCATTCTTCTCTCCCACTTAAAGTGGTGATGATGATGTCCATGGCAATGGCATTGAAGCAGCAAAGGGTTTTAATGGCTATTTCTTCTCCTTCAACTTCAACCCTTCTTGGGTTTCACTCTCAGAGAAGCCAAGCTGAAACGGGTATGATTTTCTTTCTTCATACTTCCAGTAGTAGAAGTGGTAGGCCAAAGTACCAAAAGGGATGCTCTTTTACAAACATTGAAGATGCCTTGTGTTGCTTTAATCTCATGGTTCATATGCATCCCCTGCCTCGTATTATCGAATTTAATGATTTTTTATCAGCTCTTGTCAGAATCAAACATTATGGGACTGTGCTTTATTTGTCCAAACAAATTGAATTGCTGCAGATCGAACGTGATGCTTTTTGTCCAAACAAATGGAACTTGCAGGAATCTCTCATAATGTTTATACCTTTAACATCTTGATTAATTGCTTCTGCCACTTACATGCTGATTCTGGGTTCTCTGTGTTGGCCAAAATCATTAAACTTGGTTTTGAACCCAGTGTTGTCACTTTTTCTACCTTAGTTAATGGGCTTTGTGTTGAGGGTAGAATTGCTCGAGCTGTAGAATTCTTTAATGACATGGTGGCAAGAGGATATGAACCTAATCTACATACTTATAATACGATTATCAATGGTTTGTGTAAGATTGGAGATACCTCTGTGGCTGCTGGATTGCTCAAGAAAATGGACGAGGCAGGTTGTGAGCCGGATGTTGTGACATACAATACAATTATTGATAACCTTTGCAAGGATAGACTAGTCAATGAGGCTTTAGATATCTTCTCTCAGATGAAGGGTAAAAGCATTGAGCCAGATGTTATCACATACACCTCTTTAATGCATGGCTTATGCAATTCAGACCAGTGGAAGGAGGCTTCAGCGTTGTTAAATGAAATGATGGGTCTGAATATCATGCCGGATGTAGTTACATTCAGCATGTTGATTGATACACTGTGTAAAGAAGGCGAGGTTTCAGAGGCTCAAGGTGTATTAAAAAAAATGACAGAAAAAGGTGTGGAGCCTAACATTTTTACTTATAATTCATTGATGGACGGGTACTGTCTCCGAAGGGAAGTTGTTGAAGCGAGAAAAATATTGGATGTTATGATAAGCAAGGGTTGTTCACCTGATGTTCTTAGTTATAGTATTCTGATCAATGGATACTGTAAGACCAAGAGGATAGATGATGCGAAGCAGGTTTTTGATGAAATGATTCATCACGGCCTAATTCCCGACACTGTTAGTTACTCCAATCTTATAGGTGGCTTGTTTCAAGCAGGGAGAGTTTTGGAAGCAAAAGAGCTTTTGAAGGATATGTATACCCAGGGCCACTCCCTAAATTTAGTAACTTACTCAATTTTGCTTGATGGCTTAAGCAAACAAGGTTACCTTGATCAGGCATTGGAGATATTTCGAGAAATGCAAAATAGTTACTCGAACCCTGAATTGGTGATCTATAATATCTTAGTCGATGCCATACGCAAATCTATGAAGCTTGAAGATGCAAGGGAGCTGTTTTTGAAACTCCATGTCAAAGGATTGCTGCCTGATGTTCGAAGTTGGACTTCAATTATCAGCGGACTTTGCAGAGAAGGATTGCTAGATGAAGCATACAAAGCTTTCAGAGAAATGGAAAGGGATGGCTGCCCACCATGCATATGGTTGTTCTTATAATGTTATTGTCCGAGGATTTCTCAAGAACAACCGTGCATGGGCAGAACAACTTTTTCAGGAAATGTTTGATAGAGGATTCTCTGCAGATGCCCTGACCAGAACCTTGGCGGCAGATATGTCGTCTAAAGATGGCAATCTTGGTTTGAAGAGGTTGCTCGGTGAATCTGAACGTTGTCAAGGTGAAAAGGTGATGTAAATCTTCCTTACCCTGTGCTGCTAGTTGTTGGTGCAAATATTACATGACTTCTCTTGGTTCAATCCTGTCAAAATTTTAACAATATTCACTTTCTTTTGTTTCATGTAGTTGTTACTCTTTAGGACTGGCATTCACCTATTCTAGGTTATATATTCATGCTAGCTCTTTTATGTGTATCCATAAATATAGTGTTGGGTAGATTACCTGAATGAAAGTCATTCAAGTTTTCCTGTAAGTTATTAACTTATTTAAATGTTTATCATCTTGAATGACTTCAAAGACTCTTTTGCTTCAAGCACCCCAGATTTCTTCATACATCAATTCTTGCTGAAAATAATCCCTGTCCTACTGTATTTGCTAGATTCTTGGTCATTGTGAATTTCTGTATGAGGATGGATGCTACTCCCACTTTTACAAATAAAAACAAAAGAATATGGGTATGATGCCATTGAGTTTTGTTTTGTTTATGCTTGTTTGTTTGATCTTTTGATCTGTTTGTGGATTTGGGTGATATATTAATGGTATGTTACCTGGAAAAGAACTTTAGATCTTAGTGTTCAGTATTCTAGAATTCGCATCAGAAGTTTGAGATCAATTAGGTACAAGTGTTTATATAAATTTGTTGTTGATCATAGTTAAGCAGTGAAAGCAATTTAATTTTTCTCTAAGTGATTAAACCTTTTTGAATTTTCATATTAAATAACTTTCAATACATGTACATGTATGCTATCTTTTTTGTTTCCCATGATGGTTTCTTTTGTTTGTGGATAGGATCGTATGTCTTTTTATTTGTTGAATATATGCATGTTATGTTTTCAAGAAAATAACCCTGTATCTTGAAGTTTTATGTTGTACAGTGGGAATTAAACTTCTTGTGATTAGCAACTAGGCAGGTGGGATTTGAAAGAAGAATTTTGATTTGCATAGGATGATTGAGGTCATGTGCACAAAGGGATATAGGCTGGCCATTTATGATTGTTTTAGCAAATTGCTGTTATAATTATGTTTGAAGCTGAGGTATTGATATGCTGGCAGTAATACTAAAACATTCAATGCTAAATGCTTGATGCTTATGAAATTGAGAGTTGAATTCCTTGTAATTATTGAGAGTAGGCAGCAGAGTGATAAAATTATTTGAACATTTTCATGCAGGAAAACTAACATCAATCTGGTGAATTATTCCTGTGAAACAATTGCTGTATGATGTTTCTTTGAATGACCATACGTGGAGGATAAACATGATGTGGTTAGAACTTTCCAGAATCATACTTTATGTTCTTATCTATTTTGCTTTTCTCTTTTTATTCTTCAAATTGAGAAATCAATCCTGTGTATTATGGATAATTATTTTACACACTTCTTACTGCAGGCAGGATAAGATCCATTTTGTAGAAAAGGAGAAATGAGAGAAGAAGATGCAAATTAGTCTTGCATAGAACACAAACTCTGACATGCCTATACAAATCTGTTTATTACATTAGATGAAAGAATCGGTATTGAGTCCATAGAAAGTAGCATGTACTCCTAATTTGAACTACTTACCCTCTATTTAGATGCTAGGTTTTTGAGGTGATATGACATTGTTTTTCGTGCAGCATTACTCATCTTTGCTTTTTTCTTCCAAGAGACCTTGTGGTAGTTGGGTTTTACAAGTTTGAAACTAAGATGTGTTTGTCAAATGATCCATAATTGAGATTTCAAAAATGAATTGCTATGATATAGTCACCTGATCTCAATTCTACATTAAGTTAAATTTGACAAAGATCTTCTTCATAAACATTTGTCTGAAGGTCTGCAAATGTTACTCTTCACTCCAGATTCTGGAAGATAGACCAGTTTCAGAACTCAAAGTAATGTGCTTTTTTCTACCAGGAAATTATCTCAAGTTCTATGATGCCAAAAGAAGTGCCTATCCTGACATCAAGATAATCCCAAACTCTGATGGGTCTTCTCATTCATTGGATCCCCCAGCTGATTACTACGATTTTCATGTAAACATCCCGTCACAATAGCTTTGTTTTCTTTCTGTTTTGCAGTATTGTACTTGTGTGTATTTTCATCAGTAGGAAAACACAATGCTAGTTTGATCGCACCCTGTTTTCTATGACTCATAAGTTTGATCGCACATCCTGCACTTGTCCAAAGGTGTGTCATATGCCTTTTGACAACATACTGACTAAAATATGTGACAAATATTCATGGGATTTACTATTTTTGAGGCTTCTGTGAGTGACTATGCTATGACTGGAAATGATGTGGGCACAGGAAGTCTTTTAGCTGCACTCGCTGACGCCGGATTCCTCATTGGTCTAAAAAGGAACAGGTTTGTAATACTTGTTCCAGCAATCTTAAGTTATTTGTGAATGTGCTATTCAGTGATCAAGGATCTGAAATTTTTAATGCCTTCCCACGTGGAGGGGGGTGAACAAATTAATAAAGAACGCCTTTGAAATAGTGAGTTATCATTCTATTTGATGCCATTTCTGTGGTATTGTGTAGATGGCAAGCTGTGCACCGCTTTTTTGTGAATTGCAATAATAGGAGGTCCAATCTCATTCTATTCCTCAATAATTATTTAAAATTCAAGCATGCATGGCAAGGAATATCGTTTTCTTTTCAGGGTGCTGACACTGAAAGGAACTTTTATATGAAGGTGGAATCCAGATGCAATTGTCTTCAACTCATCAAATCACTATGGAACACCGAGCTACTGGGTGCAAAAATTCTTCAGAGAGTCAAGTGGAGCAACTCTTCCTGACGCTAAGCTACAGACAAATTCCTCTACACTTGTTGCATCTGCAATTAATTGGCAAAATTCAAACTTACCTGAAAAATAAAGGTATGCTAATACCAGCATAGCTTGCAGGGATCATGGCCTAAACACCAATTTTAAGTTTTTATCCTTTTTTTGGTCAATGCTGCAAGTTTGAATCCTTTTCCAAGTGTGAATTTTGGGAACAGCGAAGTGAATCTCAAAGTTTCCATTGATGGATACTCATGATTGTCTGGATCAACAAAAGGTGCGCTCACATCCTCTAACGTAATGGACGAGAATTCCTTCGTGGATCCAAAAAAGGTTTCTGACATCTTTGACATGACCTTCTGAATTTTCACTTTAATTTAGTATTCAAGACCCATATCTGAATTTTCAATGTCCTCAGAACCTTTCAATTCCAGTTTATGTTGCAAATCTGCTAACTGTCTTGGCTTCTTCACGTAATGCAGGTGGTGCCAGCACAAACTATGATCGAGAATGCTGACAAAGACATGGATGTTGTACTCTCTCCATATTCTTGAACTTCATTTGATTTGTTAACAGAATCACACAATATCAGGACGCCACAGAGTGATTCTTTCTCATGATCATCAAATTAGAAAAATAAATTAATGCATGATGTGTAAATATACGAAACAATCAAAATAATGTTACATGTGGCTGGTGTTTTTGCCTGCTTTTTATGTTAATTTAATAGGCAAATTTCACCTTGTAATATATATATATATAGTTTTTTCAATGTCAAACATGTTGTGTGACAGTCAAGTCATGGCTATAGAACTTTTCATCCATAAGGAACCATATTTGATGTTATCTTACCAATGGTGAAAGGAGGGCCTGCAGCCTCTAAGGTTGACAGTGGATGGAAGAGGCTGTTTAAAAATTAATTAATATTTTAATTTTCAAGAAAATTGGAGTGCAAAAAAGAAAACTTGAACTTTCTGTTCGAATGTAATATTTCTCTGTCAAGAAATTTTTAAAAGTAGTTTTTTAAATTTGTGTTGAAATCGTTGATGTTATTCAAATAATGATTTGTGAAAAACTGTGAGGAGTGGAGTTTAATTAGTGAGATTTTAATTTTATTTTTTACATATCATTAATTAAATTACCATAAATTTTGGTGGTTAGCGGCAGCCTCCCTATGTTTTTTCTAATGTAAACAATATGTTATCGCGAGGTTCAGTGTTTTTAAGAATTAAAAAGAAATTGATTCGCAAGTTATTTACTTCACAATTAATTCACCGATCATGGGCATATAAAAGCAAGGAAAAAGCAAGGAATACCAATTCAATCAATGGGTCCCTTGCTTAGGTCCCTCCATCATCATGATTCTGTAAGATTTTTCCTTGGATTTCTAAGAACCACTAAGAGCTACTTTAATTCAGACCTTTTTAAAAAAGTGAACAGATCTGATGGAATGGAGGTCCAGTTGAATGACGCTATCTTCAAAGTGAACTGCAGGTTCCACGAAGGAACGTATGCCAGAAGCAAACGGGGTTGACTATAAGAAGCGAAGAGTGAAAGAGTCATTTGCCCTCCGATTCCATTGATCAAATCTTGTTGCCTTCGATGGCCTATCTTCTCCTTTACAAATTGGTGGTGTGTGCTAAGGCGATTGAAGGTGGAAGCCTGAATGTTGCAGATTCACTTTTGGCAGAAATTCAATCTCTAGCTTCTAAAGAAGAGAGCATATGGACGAGGAAAGTTGTCAAATACTTCGCTGAGGCTCTTGTCCGGCGAGCCTATGGAATTCGTCCTCCATGTATTTTTCCCTTGCTATCAGCCGCATGCATGTATGTTCCTTTCTACGCGTTTGCTAGAATCACCAGTAAACATGCCATTGCTGATGCCTTGAATTCGGGAAATAAACGACTCCACATTATTGACTTCTCCAATTTCGGCGATTATTGGCGGTGGCGTTACTTAATTAAAGAACTCGAACAGCATTATGGTGGCCTTCAATCAGTCCTAATAAGCAGTATCTCACCAAAACTGTCAAAACACTCTTGCCATCCCCGTTTCCACCGGGGATGGGCTGAGGGCGGAAATGTGGAATTGTGGGGATGGGCTGAGGGCGGAAATGTGGAATTGAGGCACTTGATATGCAATATTCCGTATGGTATTGTCAATTGTATTTCCGAACTCAGAAGGAAAAGGGAGGATGAGATTGTGGTTGTGAATTGGAATTTTACACTCCACAAACTGCTTGCACAAGATGGGGCAATGGAGCAAGTGCTTTCAAAAGTGAAGGATTTGGGAGCGGACATCATGGTAATTGTTGAGCAAGAAGCCAATCTTAACAGCCCTTGTCTTTCGGAGCGGCTCGAACAATCATTCCAATACTACTCCACTATTTTTGAGTCACTGGAGGAAGATTATGGTAGCAACGCCTTATGGGACTGCCTCAATTAAGGATGACCCCGACATGCCCTGATTACCCAAGGTGAGATTTAACCAGCAACAATCATACACCAACGTTTGAGGCAGGGGATCGTGTGTGATCTTATGCATAACTTTCTTCCCTTTTTTACACGAATTTTCATATCTCTATTGACGTATACAGCAACCACAGTAAAACTATCAGCCACACTACCTGCATTTCTACGATTATGCATGCATGCCGATGGGGTTAATACTTTGCTAGCTTTTTTTCAGGTTTCCCTTCAATTGAATTATAGAGTTCAATGCATATTTATGGATGCGGAGCTTGAGGAAATTTCTCTGATCAACAAAAAGCCAAACATTGACTTAAGAATTTAGCATTTTGATTTAGAAAAAACATGCCATACATCACAGATTTTGACATTTTGCTTTAAAGCATGGAGTTTACATTTACTTAGATTTACTTTGGGATAGAACCTCAGTTGAAGGAGATGTCAGGTCTTTGAGTGGTTCCATTCTCTTTTTTTTTTTTTTTTTTCAATTGATAATTCAGCTCATTTAGTCATTGAAGATGGTTCTGTCGGTTTGAGAGAGCCACAGTCAATGACTTGTAGAATTTGTCAGAATGAGAAGACTGAGTTCCTTTTTTTGCTATACTGTGATGTGTAAAGGTCAGCAAGCATGTGGAAATGGAAAACAGATGATATTGGGATTCATTTATGCTGCTGTTGGATATTAATTTGTTTAGTTTTTGATGTCGTCTGTTTGCTTCTTTTGTTGGATCCTATTCATCTATACTTTCGAGGTTGCTTTTTTCTCTTTTGTTGGTTGGGGGATATCATCGTCTGTTTTTTATATCTGTCGTGCCTGTATCTAGCATGTGCATGCAGACTTCAAACTTCATGGGTTCAGCATTTTCAATTCTTCAAACCAAGGCTTTTTTTAGTCAGTTCTCTGATTTTCTTATTTGCGTTGTCTGGTTTGGTTGTCCTGCTTTTGTGCCCAGTCATTGTTCTTTATTATTTTGCAATTCTGCCTGGCAGACAATGAAGGGCTTCTGGTGTTTTTCCTACTGATTTGGTGTCTTGCTTCTGCTCCT